GCAGGCACATACCTGCAGTTGCTCAGGCTAGAAGCCAGGGGGCACCAGAGTAGCCCTCCCTTCCCTTGCACAGGTCTGAGGGGGGAGGTGTGGCCAGACCCTACCAGGACACTGTGATTAGGGAGGGGTTGCCTCCCCTCTCCCCCTTGATAACAGAGCATTTATCAGCTCTGTTATCAGCATTTAATACCCCATCAGAAAACAAAGCCTCATTCATTACAAGCTCTTTCTAAACAGCTTTTTTCAAAGGAAAACGCATACCAGCCTCTGGCTTCTTTACTATTATTCCATCCAGGAAGAGCACACACCAACTCCAGATGTTTCCTCAACCTGACGAAGGGTTTTTAAACTCAAAGACTTGCTAAGAAAAATGTTTCCAACTATTTAGCTGACCTAATAAAAGATATCAGATTTACCCCAAAAAACTTGTCTGCCTTTTCCAAAAGAAGGAATGCAGGGACATTACCATCTGAGCTGTAAATTACCTCCAAAAAGCCCTAAGCAGACACTGGATGCATAGAAATCTGCCTTACACAGCATTAGCTAGCATACCACATGCTGGCTACAGTCCATGCTGTGGGAGAGAGGAGGAAGGGCTCTCTGCTTAAGCAGCGAGTGGTGAGTGGGGGGAGGAGGGCACAGAGAAGCCAAAAGACCCTGCTGTGCCTGCAAGTTTCTGCTGGAGCTGCGGTCAGGGAGCAGAGGGGCCAACCCTGCTGTGGAGCAAAGCCCCACCCAGCCCAGAGAGCATGCTAGGATGCTGTGGGTGTCTGGTTTAACTTAAACCAGCAAAGGGTCTGGGATAGATATTGCATAAACCAGTTTGATCCAAATCAGTTAATAAGTCTGATTCAACCAGGTTTATCTCAAACCAGTTTCAGCCATTTTCAAACTGGTTTATGTGCACTGAACACCTGTTCTGTTACAGGTTTAAACCAGTTTCTGATCACTTAAAACAGTTTATGTGTAATGTCTGTCCCTAGCCAATGTGTCAGATACCCAGGCCCAGCAACTGTGAGCTCTGTTTAACGGAGTTCATGGACTCTCATGAACTACAGTGGAGTTTGGATTGGGCCCTCCATTTGCAAAAACAGAACAAATTCATATGCAAACCTGATGCAAGACAGAATGGGGGTAATGTTAGCTGGAGTTTTGAAAAGTGCCTAAGGATATGTCTTCACTGCGGTGGTGGTGTTTTTCAATCATGGACAGTCTTAAGCACACACCACTCACCCTACTCATGCTGGCCTGCTCAAAGCCTGGAAATACAGTGGTTATACCACTCCAGGGTACTCCCTCTGAGGCTGCTTTTGAGACCCTGATGTCCAGCATGTTTGGAAGCACTACTTGGGGAAATGTTGGAACAGCATCACCGCTACATTTCCAGGTCCAGAACATATTAGTGGGAGGTAGGGAAGGATGTTCTCAGGGAATGTCCCTGATAGGACTTGCTCCTAAAAGAGTAGGGTGCCTGAATCCCATTCAGAGATGGTTAACTGTGTTAGTCTAAAGTTCATTATAAAGTAGGGCAGGGACTACATAGATGATAACCTACTCCATCAGATGTTCATCAGATCTTTCATCAAATACTGGGAATATTCTGTTTCATCAGATGGAAGAGGGATTTGAGGTGTCTTGGTCATCTAGTACTCACCGGCTTCTTTGACACTGGCTAGTAAAAGATAAAACATCACAGCACAGTCTTTAAAAAAATCTCTCACAGAATTCACACACTTGTTTAATTGAGTATGGAGAGAAACACTCATAAGTGATCTGAGTAGCTCTGACCTTATGGTATTTACCTGTTCAAAAGCAACATATAAATAATTCATTTCAGCCACTTAGATCCACTTCAAAGTTCTAGGTGAATCATTTCTATTCAAATGGGTCATGAGTGTTCATATGGGAAATAGCGCTCTTTGGCTTAGCTGATGATTGCAATGGGATGTACAGTTATATGAAGTTGCAGCTGTCAACTCGCAGCCTTGGAATTCCCTAGAGACACTATATAGTTCATTTTTTATCCAGAACATAAAACACAGGCTACACAATCCTAATAAATGTTCAGATTAAATTAGCCATGCACTTTAAGATTGCCCCAACTCCCATTCATATAAAAGAAAGGTAACTTCAAAATTTTGCTTTCACAAAGCAATATACAGATAGTTCAAGGGTTAAACTATGAGCTCATTGATGCATTTAATATTATACATTTGCAGTACCCCTTTTCTTTTGTAGGTGGAACCAAAACAGTCTTTAAATTCAGTGCAAATTCATCTGAATTTTTGTCAGTTGTTGAACATGACCAGCTATTCAGTGTTACAGAGAATATAGAGAAAGCGATGGCCCACATCCATCGAGTACAGCCAAGCTCTTCTCAGCACAGGACCCAAGGTATAGAAAGCCAAATGTGGGTCCCTGCTTAGGTTTCTTCAGCTTGTCTTGGAGGCCTGTGTATTTATCAGGATTGTATAGGACTCCAATGCTTTGCCCACTTCAAGCTTTAATTTTGTAATTAAATTTAAAGTGTAAATTTACCTACGTTTCAGCCTCAGTGGAGGGTTTGCTAATATATACTTGTACCATCTTTTCAGAGCTTTTATTGAAATTGCCCTATAGAAGCCCAAGCATTTTCATTAATTATTTAAAGAAGAATGACTGACTCAGGAGTTAGATACTGGATTATGATATTTTTCTTTTATGTCACAAATTCAAACCCAGCACAGGGCAGCAAGGACTGAAAAATATCTTCTGATTTAACAGAGATTAGCATCTCTGAAATGACTCATGTGGCACACATGCAAAATAGACTTTTTAAGTGCCTGAACTCCACAATTGTACTTCTATTTCTTGCAAAGTGGCTCAAAGGTTAGTCCTCAGTAAGAATTCTGAAAATGGAAGTCTCTGACTTGAAAATTTTGTTTTTGTAGCAATCGCTTTCTTTTTTGTATCAGAAAAAAGTGTTTTTGACCTTTATAAGCTAAAATAGCTGTAATCTATATAAGGAGACCAACTTCATCATGAGGAAATTAGAATTTAATCATAACATAACAATTAACTTTAAAACAGAGATGCTTTAAGGCTAACGTGTCTCAGCGGGCATGTCTACATGAGACATTTACTGCGGAGTAGACTAATTAGCTCTGCAG